TGTGGTGGGCAGAAGTCTACCGAGTTTGCCGATTGGTGAGTACGTTAATGGTGAGTTGGTTAGCGATGGAACGGTTTTTAGAAAGTATTGGAAATGTACCGATGACGAGGATTTCACACAAGTATCGAGCTCCTGAATGTGTGGTGAATGAAAAGACGTGTGGAATTACAGAGTTGTGCAGTAAGAAAGCCGGGTTTTATTATCGCGGGGCGATGTTGGTTAGAGTTTCACCCGTTTCACGTGAAGTGGCGTAAAACTCGGCGAAGAACGCGATATGTAATATTCGCTGCTCAGATGCATTTTTCGCCAAGTGAAATGTGAAATATGTTTTTTCATATTACGGGTGAAACTCCATTATATTCATCAATAGCTTCTGAATATATAAGTGAAATTTTCGATGGACTCTCACGACCCGTTTCAATTGAAGTGGCGTAATACTCGGTGAAAAACGCGGAATTTTCGATAAGAAGTGGATGAGTTACAGAGTTGCTCAGGATGAATGAAAATATAAAATAGATAAAACTATTTATGAGAGCCTCTAGCTGGGACGGGGTGCATATGAATCACATAGTTCGATAGCTAGTGGGTATATAGTTGTGGAATAATTGATGGAGTTTCACGCGTTTTACGTGCATGTGAATTTTTTCGAAATAAACATGTGGGAAAACAGAGTTGTGCAGTAAAAACGGTGGAGTGAATTTGAGTTGATGTTGAAATAATTGGGACTAGTTGAATATTCTCAAGTTGTAGTGAATTATAAGCCCGTTCCTGGAATCGAACTCACGACCTGGTGGTTAGTAGATGAGCGCTCTACCGCTGAGCTATAGAGGCTGTTTTTGTCAGGTAAGATTGTGTTTCACCTCCCTAAGAAGTGTATTCGCATTACTTATCACCGCCCGGACGGACGGCTGATGGGTCAACAGTTGACCTTTTATAAAACTCCTGATGGGCAATCTCTGTCGTAGGTCTTGTTCGGTGGGGTTTCGTATATATTCTTTATTTTATGAATATTCAATTATAATGTGTATTAATGGAGTTATTAATTTTATAACTATTATATTGGAGTTTCACGGGCGGCCCTAGTGATATGAAAAACACTAGTGATAAATATATTTCACGACTACTGCATATCACCGCGAATAATATCGCGTTTTTCACAGAGTATGACGCTAATTCGCGTAAAACGAGTGAAACTCCAGTGATCAACTTTTTGAGAAATAAAGATGTGTAGAAATATTTTGTTCATTTTCACTCTTATATTTTAATCGTTGACTCTTCCCCCTTTACGAAACCAATCTCATCGATTGAGCGACTCTGGGGAATCCCCAATCGGAACGATTTCGCGGTAGCATGTTTTCGCTTCAGCGACTACAACATCGTTTCTCTGTAGGTCATGTTTATTTGTTTCACTGCTTGTGATCAGTGAATGTTTCACTCGTCGTGAGTTCGTTCGTATAATTCTGTTTCCATAAAAAATTTCCGTGGTGATTGTGGTTTTTCGTGTTTGGTAGATTGGATAAGCTCAGCCGAATTGGAGCAGGGGATGATATCAAACTGCCGACACCTATGCAGTTGTTGCAATTATTGAAACTCGAGAAAACGGCTAAGCATAGCTTCATTGAGACTACTAATCAAAGTGAGATGACTAGATTCTAGTTATACCGTTCCTCGCTGAATTTTCTAATGGATTCGCGTTATTTTGTATAGAAGAATTGTTGTTGTATATACGCTGTATTTTTTCCTGTAGAAGGTATTGAAAATTTCAGCAAATTTTTAAGTGACCATTTTTCAAGTCTTATGTTGTATGATTATATGATATCGTATGTAGGAGTGGAATGAGCGCGATTGGTTCACATGTATTTGGCAGGAGCAGGGGTGCATCGTCGAGGGTGGTCAACTACGATTGGGTTAAAATTTCCATAGAATTTGACGTACGAGTAAAAGAAGTCTACCGAAGATGTTTGGCGAAAAAAGTAGCTCGAAATTCGATGTAATTGATGATAAATCGACCCGACAAGAATTCAAAAAATGTGAAAAAGTATAAATATGCAATAAAATTAAGCAGCGTTGTAAAAAAAGCGCATAAATATTGACGTAAAATGACTAGGAAATGTTCGTTGTAGTTACTTCTGAGATGGTATTACGTCGTAAAGAGGAAAACAAAGTGAAAAATGTGAGATTAATGAGTCAAAATGAAGGAGTTCAGAAAGGTAGAGTAGCGTTGATATCCTTATTGTGAAAGTCTGGACTCAGCGAGTGCAGCTGCGGCGATAGCAGATTTTGCTGGTCCACCCGTTGATGTTGGAAAAAGTGCTCATAACAAGGGAGGAGATACTGTGGCTTCTCAGCGAAATTTGGTAAGTTTAACGTCATCATTTTTTATGAATTTCGGGAATGTTGTAGATAATACAATGTCGTGGTCGGTTTCTGTTTTACTGGGGGAACGCAAGGTAGTGTGCATAAGGAAAAGTAACAACACATATTCGGGACTCTCACCCAATAAGCGATCCTTTAGCTCGCTATGTAGCTACGGATAAAAAGATACAATAACACAATTAGAGCGAATCTTCACATTACAAGAAGAGAAATTCATAGTGAAGGAAGATCAGTCTGCGAATGGTATGAACGCAGTTCAGTTGCATTAGATGTGATATGGTGTTTATATATAGTTGAATAGAGTTTCACCCTAGTGATATGAAAAACACTAGTGAAAAACATATTTCACGTCTTCTACAGGCCGCGAATATCACCGCGTTTTTCACCGAGTTTTACACAAAACGGGTGAAACTACAATTTTTTTAATATTTTTTTTCGTGAAAAATTATTATGTAGGTGCTGATGAAAAACGTATACGATTACGCCAGAGGAGCTTTGGCTGAAGTCACGCCGCTGGAAGATGGTTCGGAGGAATATGGGGAGGATAGTGCGACGAAAATAGCTGAGAAAAAAGTGGGCATATCGCGAAATCTCATCGGAATTAGTTTGAAATTATCAAGCTGATTCGCGCTAATATCATTAATTTTGGAAGCGAAAGTCACAATGAAAATAATAAAGTAGATGAATTCACTTGAATATTTCCTATATCAATATGTGGGTGCACTTTATGTGAAGAGTAAGTTTCTTGTTATTAGAACCACTCCCCGTATGTCGCTAGTATCACAAATTTTGTTTTTTGAAGCAATTAAGTTGTATTGGCGAATTAGAATTCGACCAGGTTGAAAACATGAGCTCTTTAGATGGACATTTTGATGCCGTATTTGGCAGAGTTCCGTGGAGAACAGCTAGATGCACTCCAGGCGGAATTTGTTGTTAAGAAGTAATTCGATTTTCTCGGCAAAGTGTCATTGAATTGATCGCAGGTGTAAAAGTGACTTCCGCAAGAGGCTTTTGGACAGGGCGGCGGTTATTCAGAAAAGGTTGGAAGAAGAACAAGTAAGCGTCTTAGTCGTTGTTTTGTTTTGAGCAGTAGTCGTTATTGTGGTATAGGAGTTAGGGTAGTTGCGATAACAATAAAACAGAATGTGTATAGGAAAAGATGATGAGAATATGAAAAAAATGAGTATATTTTACAGTAGCGATGATAACACACTTTGGAGCAATCGTGTATGCAGCGATGTTGTCGGGAGCTGCATGGTGTAGATGATGGAAGTCACCGAATACTATATACGTATGAAAACTCGAACGCATTTATAATAGTTGTAGAGTGCATAGATGTGGAGTAGTTGTCGAATACTCGGTTCATCCATAGCGGAAAATTCACTTAGTTGAATGAGATCTCTGTGGTTGCTGCTCTGATATATTTTCTACAGGAGGCGTTGAAGAAACGGCGTGCTCAAATTCAACGTCGCGGTGGTCCTGAAGTTCAGCAAGGAAGAGCTGAATCTGATTTCGAACAGTACCAAACTTTGGCTATGTTCCGGTAAGAGATTGTTATTATGCGACTGGAAATCTCGACGGTGTTGTATCAATGATTGAATCTTGCTTGCTCGCCATCGGCCGTACAGAAAAACACTTGAAAATTCATTCAGCGCGATCAGTAGACCTCTCCTGAGCTTCAAAAACGCTCCTAGGATTTCACGTGTAAAACTCTACCCAGAAAGCGGTCTTGTTGAACACCCCTACTTGTTCGTGAAGGAATCGACACTTGTTATAATTCCCTCTGTTGAGAAACATGATGGAGGTTAATCATACTCAAAGAGAATCAAAGAGAACATGATTGACTCTCAGCGCTAAAGGGACAATCTAGTTTACTTATATCACGCCATTCTGGCAAAAATTGTAATCGCGTTATGATTACATTCATCGGAGATAAATGCCATCTTGTAGTAGGAGTCAACGCCTAGGAATAGAGGGATACTTTAGGTGACTTATACAGCACCATGCTGTTGAGCAGTGAAAAAAAGCAGATATTTATAATGACAACACTCTGTTGTTTTTTCAATGATAGAATCATTGAGGCGGCTCCAAGCGTTCATCGGAGTACGTTCCGGAGTAGAAATATACGGAAACTAACAAAAAATTTTCATTTTTCCTTCGCTGGCTTCAAAAAACGGGTAGATAAACGTTTGCATTCCTCGGAGAAAATTTCTCGCGATATCGATCGTCCCAGTGCTGTATCTATTTGGAATATAATCATTTCTTTACGTTCGTATGAATGTTGCTTTTGTTACATTTGTCTGTCTAGAACTAGGTGTACTTTATCTTTATCTCAGGATTCAAATTTTGGAGCAACGGCTGGCCCGACATGAAATACAAGCTATTAAGAAATTCACTGAGTTGGAAGAGGCACTTCTGACTGATCCGAGATTGCAAGCGATGTGGGAAAAAGAATCGTCGGGCTTTGGCGACGTGGATGAGGACGAAGAGGAAGAGTTGTGTGGATCCTCTCATGCTGAGGGTAAGTGATGAAAATGGAGTTGTTCATGATTCCGCTTGCCGCTACATGTTGTTGTTATTGCGGCACTGTTGAGATTGCCTTGAGTCAAGTTTGCATAAATGAGGAAGAATGAACTGTACTGATTGATATAAATATTCGACATCTACTGATGTCTCGTTTGATAGTACGATATCTACAATCGAAGACCTACAATTTCCGTGCTAAACAACGAGTGCGCACTAGGACCATCATAGTCTGTCTCGGGCCTCGATCTATCTGGCTGACGCTAGTGGTTTTTGCTCATTGAATTAACTTCTCGCTCGGTAGAGACATATTATGTGCTACGGGCGATTAGGATGGCAACAGATATATGCACCAGCATCGTCCCAGGAGAGTTTTCCGTTTCCTCACGTGTTCGTTTGGCTCGAGGAGGCAAACGCAGTGTCCGAATATCCCCTTCCAAAAAGGAAGTAGCCTCCTTCTTATAAGGGGATATTCCGACACTGCGTCGGATAAGGTATTTCTGATGTGAGCTTTGCCGCGAAGCCTTTGCGACATGAAGCCTTGCTGAGAAGGCTCCTCTTGGCGCCTAGATGTGAGCTTTGCCGCGGAGCGGCAAACCCGGTGATCGAAGCCATGTATATATACATGGCTGGTCTGGCTGGGTTCGCCTGTTCTCTGACACGTTGGGCAACACCGCTTACCGAACCCTCATAACATTGGCTCGCCATGAGAGAAGGCTGAATATTCACCGATCCGAAAGTCGTGACTATGCGTTCTGTCAAACTGGCAGCATCTAGCTTCTCGCAGCGGACAAACCCAAGGAATTCTCCCTTTATTCTACTATCATGCACAATGATGACTTTGCCGTATGGGCTGTGTCTCGATTCGGGACTCCCGAACCACATGATATATCAGACTGAAGGATCCGCGTTCAGCCGCAGCTATCTTCCTGGCACATCAGGGTTGCTGCGCAGCTTGTGAGCTCATCTTGAATGCTATGATGCAGATACCTAGCGTCTTTGGCCCCTGAGATCATCCCATCGTCGGAAGCAGCCATGAGTCTAGTTAGCCCTAGCAAGTTCCCAGAGTTCTTAACTTCACCATTCTCGTGGAAGATGGTCTCCCCGTGGCGACGCAGAGCGATACCCCATTCACAACAAAAGACTATACATTGTCTGATGACCTCGAGATAATGACGATTATCGCGGATCGCCTCCTAATTCTGCTCGTTGAGTGCGGCGACCACTGACTGTCCCTTCTCCTTAATCTTGCTCCAGTCGAATTAGGCCGAGTGCTACTCACATCATATGAGCAGTACTCGGCCTACTTCGACTGGAGTCACATGCATCCGCCCCCACAT